AAAAAAAAAAAAAAAAGTGAATGAATAAACAAACAACAGAAAACACTATGTTCCAGGCAGTGTTCCTTCTAGGTGTTTATGTAAATGAATATATTTATTTATTTATTTATTTTTTAATTTTTATTTTTTGAGATGGAGTTTCGCTCTTGTTACCCAGGCTGGAGTGCAATGGTGCGATCTCGGCTCACCGCAACCTCCGCCTCCTGGGTTCAGGCAAGTCTCCTGCCTCAGCCTCCTGAGTAGCTGGGATTACAGGCACGCACCACCATGCCCAGCTAATTTTTTGTATTTTTAGTAGAGATGGGGTTTCACCGTGTTGACCAGGATGGTCTCGATCTCTTGACCTCGTGATCCACCCGCCTCGGCCTCCCAAGGTGCTGGGATTACAGGCTTGAGCCACCGCGCCCGGCCATATTTATATTTTTTTAATTAAATCTTTTTTTGAGATGGATTCTCACTCTGTCGCCCAGGCTGCAGTGCAGTGGTGCAATCTCAGCTCACTGCAACCTCCGCCTCCCAGGTTCAAGCAATTCTCTGCCTCAGCCTCCCAAGTAGCTGGGATTACAGGCACCTGCCACCACATCCAGCTAATTTTTGTATTTTTAGTAGAGATAGGGTTTCACCATCTTGTCCAGGCTGGTCTTGAACTCCTGACCTCGTGATCCACCCGCCTCGACCTTCCAAAGTGCTGGGATTACAGGTGTGAGCCACGGTGCCCGGCCTATTTTTAATTTTTATTTAGAGATGGAGTTCTCACTATATTGCCCAGGTTGAACTCAAATTCATGGGCTCAAGCAATCCTCCTGCCTCAGCCTCCAGAGTAGCATGGGTGCCACCACACCCAGCATAAAAAAAACTTAGTTAATCCACCACTGTTCCTATTATCATCTTCCCCCATTAACCCCAAGGGGCTGGCAGTGGTATTATTATCTGGGTTTCATGGATGGGGAAACAGGTTCAAGCCTGCCTGGGGGTCACATAGCTAGGAAGTGGGAGAGCCAGGATTCTAACCCACCCCCGGGGCTGCCCAGGCTTCCTTTGCACCCACTGCCTAAGTTGCCTGTATTGCACCAGCACAGCATGGCCACTCTGAGTGGTGAGGTATTTGGTTATGTGACTGTTGTCCCAGCCAGGCTGTGAGGCCCAAGTGTCTCCTTCCCCAGCATGACCTCTCCCAACCTGGGCCGTAGGACTCCTGGCCCACCTCTGGGGTCGTAGATGGTCACCTTCTTGTCATAGGTGCCGGTCACCAAGATGTCAGGCAGGTAGGAGAGGCACAGCACGGCTGAGTTAGCCCTGGGAATACACAGACCACAGGGCTTGGGCAGTGGCAGGCAGGGTCCTACCCTCCCCCCGGGTCCCCTGCCCAGGCCCCCTCACACTTTATCTCGCCAAACTGCTGCCCATCTGCTGCCATGTCCCAGAGCTTCACTGTGCTGTCCCAGGAGCCGGAGCACACACAGTGGTCCTGTGCCGCCAGCGACCACACCCAGCCCTGTGGACGGGAGCAACAGTCACATACCTGCCACAGCCCATGGGGGTCCCAGACTAGAATCTTTCTGTTTTTGCAGATAAGGCTCAGAGAGATCAAGTGACTCACCCAAAGCCACACAGCTCATCCTCCCCAGTGCCCACTGTGATAGATCCTGCAGTAAATACAACACCCAACTCTGGCTCCAGGTGATCATCCCCATTGCACAGATGACAAAATCATGGGTCAGAGGAAGGAAGGAGACAACCAACACAAGAACACAGAGCGAATTCAAACTGAGTTGACATTAGTTTGTGTCTGTGGGTCAGCCTAACTTCAGAGTCCAGGACAGGTACCCCCGCCCCAGAATCTGTTTTTCTTTTCTTTTTTTTGGAGATGGAGCTTCACTCTTGTCACCCAGGCTGGAGTGCAATGGCACAATCTTAGCTCACTGCAACCTCTGCCTCCAGGTTCAAGCAATTCTTATAGCTCAGCCTCCCTAGTAGCTGAGATTACAGGTGTGTGCCACCACACCCGGCTAATTTTTGTATTATTAGTAGAGACAGAGTTTCACCATGTTGGCCAGGCTGGTCTCAAACTACTGACCTCAGGTAATCCACCCACCTCAGCCTCCCAAAGTGCTGGGATTACAGGCGTGAGCCACCGTGCCTAGCCCAGAAACTATTTTTTTTTTTTTTGAGATGGAGTCTGGCTCTGTCACTGGAGTGGGGTGACACGATCTCAGCTCACCGCAACCTCCGCCTCCCAGATTCAAGTGATTCTCCTGACTCAGCCTCCCGAGTAGCTAGCACTACAGGCACGTGCCACCACACCCAACTAATTTGTTTTGTATTTTTAGTAGAGACAGGGTTTCATCGTGTTAGCCAAGATGGTCTCTACTGACCTCTCACGATCTACTGACCTCGTGATCCACCCACCTCAGCCTTCCACAGTGCTGGGATTACAGTCGTGAGCCACCGCGCCCAACCCCAGAAACTCTTTTTTGAGTTGAGCTCTTGCTCTGTCACCCAGGCTTGAGTGCGGTGGTGCGATCATGGCACTGCAGCCTCCACCTCCCAGGCTCAAGTGATCCTTATACCACAGCTTCCCAAGTAGCTGGGACTCCAAGTGCATGCCATCACGCTCGGCTAATTTTTTGTAGAGTCAGGGTCTCCCCATGTTGCCCAGGCTGGTCTCTAACTCCTGGGTTCAAGCAGTCCTCCTGCCCCAGCCTCCCAAAATGCTGGGATTACAGGCATGAGCCCCTGTACCCGGGCCCAGTAACATTTCTAAGTTCTGCAGAGACTCAGCACCAGCAGTGGTTTGAAGCTATATGACAAGTGATTAAGAGTGTGGCCTCTACTTTGTGACCTGGCAAACCATATCACCTCCCTCAGTTCATTCATCAGCAAAATGGGCAGAAAACATCTCCTGCCTCAGGAGCTAATATGCACAGAGTGCTGGATGCTGACTTACTGCCCACAGATCCTGCTGAGGAGGGCACTATTATGTATCTCATTTTACAAATGGGGAAACTCAGCCCCAGAGAGGTTGAGTTTCTCACTCAGGGTCACACAGCCAGGAAGTAACACAGTGGGGATTTGAACCCAGCAGCCTGGCCCCAAACCCAAGATCTCAGCCACCAGCCTGACCTCCTTAGTGACTGGTGAGGCTGAGGTAGAAGAATCACTTGATCCTGGGAGGCAGAGGTTGCAGTGAGCTGAGATCGTGCTGCTGCACTACAGCCTGGGTGACAGAAAGAGACTCTATCTCAAAAAAAAAAAAAAAAAAAAAAAAAAAAAAAAAAAAAAAAAAAAAAAAAAAAAAAAAAAAAGAAAAGAAAGAAAAGAAAAGAAAAGAAAAAGGCCAGGTGCAGTGGCTCACACCTGTAAGCCCAGCACTTTGGGAGGCCAAGGCAGGCAGATCACAAGGTCAGGAGTTTGAGACCAGCCTGGTCAATATCGTGAAACCCTGTCTCTACTAAAAATACAAAAATTAGCTGGGCATGGTGGCATGCGTCTGTAGTCCCAGCTACTCAGGAGGCTGAGGCAGAAGAATCACTTGAACCCGGGTGGCGGAGGTTGCAGTGAGCCAAGATTGTGCCACTGCACTCCAGACTGACTCAAAAAAAAAAAAAAAAAAGCCTTAGCTTAATGCATGTCCACATTAATGCATGCATCTCCTTCATCCTCATCCTAATCACCCACGGGACAGAAGTAGAAACTGAAGCACAGAGAAGTCACATATCTCACCCAAAGTCACACCAAGGATTAAGAGTCAGATTCAGATCGATGTGGTCCTGCACCTAAACCTGGGGCCTTAACCAAGATGCCCTACTGAGGCCTCACACCTCCTATCCCTACCTGACCTCTCACCTTGTGGGTACTAAATCGATCGGTGCCCAAGGTCTTGACCAGAACCTGGCTGGGCTCCATCCCCAGCTGCCGCAGGTCCCACAAGTTGACGTTGCGATCTCGGGAGCCCGACAGACAGAGTGCTCCACCCTGGGAAGGGAACCAGGTGATGTTGTCAGGGCCACCCTGGCCCACCCCTACCTGGCCTCCCACAGACCCCGTCTCACCTGGAGCAGCAGCACTGAGTCAATGGAAGAAATGTGCCCGTTGGCCAGGCAGAAGTACTCAGCCCAGCGCCCATCCTCTGCCCAGCGGGACAGGTGCTGCTCCAGCTCAATGCAGGCTGCCGGCCAGTCAAAGTTCTTCTCTGTGGGTTACGAGTAGGGTCCCTGGTGGGTAGGGACCCTAGCGCCCACACCAGCTGGCCACACCCAGTCCTGGCTTCCAGGGAGCCCGTCCTACACTAGACTTGGACAGAACCCCATGGGGATCCCTTCTGCCACCCCAAGCAGGTCTAGGCTCTGGCCTTGGAACCACCTGCCTGCCTGCTCATTTCCCAGGCAGATCTAGGACTCCTCCTCGCTCCAATTTCCAGAAATTGGGAACTGGGGTCTCAGAACTACCTCTCCAGGCCCCATCCCTCAACCCAAACTCAGAGGACAGCAGTCTCAGCATGTTGAGTTCTGACCTCACCCCCTCAATCCTCAGACTTGGCATAGAAGCTGGGGCCTCATGACAATCCCTTCCTGCCTCAGCCATCTGAACTAGACCAAGGGGGCTGTTTCTCAAACAGTATCTGCAATCTGGGGAGCCTTGTCAAGATGCAGAACGCAAGCCCCAAATGCAGAGATTCAGTGGAATGGACGGGATCCAAGCATTTGTGTTTATTAAGCTTTTTGGGAGAGTCTGACCTAGGGGGCTGGATGGCAACACCTTGAGAATCACTGATCGAGGAGTGATTCTGATTCCTCTCTAAGGTTGGGTGTTTGATTGCGTTAACTTAGATGCTGAATCAAAGCTTCCAGGTTAAGGATATCAACACCCAACCTGTAATACATCTTGGCTTACGGGTGTTTGATTACCTTAACTCAGAAGCAGAACCAAAGCTTCCAGGTTAAAGATATCAACACCCCACCTATAATACATCTTAGCTTAAGGGCCTGAGGATTCAGCTGTATCAGGAGCAACAATACCTCAGGATGAACGATATCAATTCAAAGTTCCCAAGCTGTCCTCCCCCAGGAACCAATCAACTCAGGGCCAAGAGGAGTGACTAACAAGCCCTGCCTAAGACGCTAGGGTAGACCCAGGGCTTGAGGTCTGGTGTCAGGGATCCCAACCCCAAATCCTAACCTGGTTCAAGGGTTTACAGGGGCTGGGCCCTGAGCCACTGTCTCATCCCTAACTGGGTCAAGGCTCTAGGGCTCAGGAGTTTTGACATCAACAGGTGCTGCCTCAGCTTCTAAGCTGGACTTAGAGCCTGAGGATCCTTGGGCTCACTTTGAGCCCCAGCATAAACTCCAGAGCCTAAGACTTCAAGTCCCTGTGTCAATCCCCTGTCAAGGGTCAGAGACTCAGTACCACAAGACCCCAAGTCTGAGGATATTTGAATCCTGAATTCAGGGACCTCAGCCCCAGGGTAGGGGTTTTCACAGCCTCAGGATCCCAAGTGCCTGACTGCCTCGTGATCCACTCAGAGGTCCTCAAGTGCTTCAGCACCACAAGTAACTGCCTCAGCCTCCAGACTGAGCCACTACAGCCATGAAGCCTGCTCCAGAGGCTGTGTCCAGAACACCCCATGTACCTCGTCCCCGCCCCAAGCCTCACCTGGGCGGGCGCTCCAGGCCCCTGAGTGTACGCACCTTCCACCACTGGGTAGGGCGCGCGTACACGGCGTTGCGCGCGTAGCCTCCAGGTGACATGGTCACGCACGAGGTTGCGCAGCGCGCGGCACACGCGTGACAGGACGTGGAGCACGAGACGGGCGTCCAGGTAGGAGCAGATTTCAAGCAGCAGCTCTGGGGGAAGGCTCAGAAGGCCCGGCTCACTTACGGCCGAAACCTTGGACGCGGCCCGATGCTCCGAGGCGCTCGGAGAAGAGGCGGGCGTGGACAGCTGCGAGGCGCGCGGGGTCGCCAGCTCAGATTTTGGCGGACTGAGTACGCGGGCCACGTAGGCCTCGGCCTGCGCGTCGGGGTCTGTCTCTGACTCGGGATCCGAGTCATCGTCCCAGCCACGGGAATCGTCGCACGGTCCTAAGGGAAGCTCCATGGCGACCCGGTGAGCGCTGCCGGCCTCGCGTCTCGTCTCCTAGGCAGCGTGAGTGCACTTCCGGCGCTGTCTGATGACGTTTAGGAGCCCACCGGAAGCGACTGCACGGGTAGCGACTTCAAAGGAAACATTTCCGGGCTTGCGGGGTCTCCTACGACTGCGTCGGGCTTAGGCTGGAAAATGCAGGTTCCTGTTTCTGCACTTTTTAAACTCTAGCTAAAAACGAAGCTCATGCCAGGCGAGGTGGTGCGTGCCTGTAGTTCCAGCTACTCAGGAGGGTAAGGGGGTAGGATGGCTTGAGTCCAGGAGTTCGAGGGTGCAGTGAGCCATTATCGCTCCACTGTAGTCCAGCCAGCGCAACATAGTGAGACCCTGTCTCTTTAGGAGACATAAAATAAACGCTGCTGTATTGAAGGCATCTGTTACATGTGACACTGAGCTCAGAAACGCAAAGCCCCCTTTCCGAGATTAAAAGGAGAGAGCGATTAGAACTTTTGCCTCTTTTCTCAGAGCCAGAAATATGCAGTTACACTGCGGAGGCCTCAGTGAAAGTTACCTTTTTATTTATTGAGAAAGGAACTGGGGTGTCAGAACTACCTCTCTAGGCTCCATTCCCCAACCCAAACTTGGATACTGCAGTGCAGTCCTCCAAGTGGAGTGTTCGGCTCATTGCAACCTTTGCCCCCTGGGCCCAAGTAATCCTTCGCCTGGAACACCCCAAGTAGCTGGTACTGTAGGAACGAACCACCACACCCAGCGTTTTTGTTGTTTTTTGTTTGTTTGTTTTTTGAGATGGTGTCTCGCTCTAGCTCTGTCATCAGGCTGGAGTGCAGTGGCGCGATCTCGGCTTACTTACTGCAATCTCCATCTCCCTGGTTCAAGCGATTCTCCTACCTCAGCCTCCTGAGTAGCTGGACTACAGGTGCGCACCACCACTCCTGGCTAATTTTTTGTATTTTAGTAGAGACGGGGTTTCACCATGTTGGCCAGGATGGTCTGGATCTCCTGACCTCATGCTCCGCCCACCTCGGCCTCCCAAAGTGCTAGAATTAGCGGTGTGAGCCACCGCATCCAGCCTAATTTTTGTATTCTTTTTTAAAGACAGGGTTTCACTATGTTGCCCAGGCTGGTCTCAAACTCCTGAGCTCAAGCTATCCGCCCTCCACTCAGTCCCCCAAAGTGCTAGGATTACAGATGCGACCCACTGCGCCTGCTGGAAAGGTACTTTCAACTAATAAAATCACACTTACTAAAACAGCACGTCTTTATTTACTAAACGGCTCTTTTGACCCAGGCAGCTAACCAAGCCGCATACATCATCTGAGCAGTATTTGTTTCCTCTACTTGGCTCTGTTCAAACATCGTCTTCTCAGTGTATCCTTTCCAGGGCACCGGACATAAGATTTCGATCACTTCCCCCACTATTCTCTTTGTGCCTTCCTGTTTTTCTCTATGGGACTTAGCGTGGTTCCACTTTTTATAGTCTTTCCTCTCACTAGAATGCAGGCCTTACTTGTTGAATGTTTGATGTGTGTGTATATATATGTATATTTTTTAATTTTAAAAGGCTAGTCAAGTGAAGCAGTGGGAGTGGAGAAGGAACAAAGAAATCTGTAACTGGTTGTGTTCAATTAGTTGTAAGCATCACTGCACCGGGACAAGCCATGTGTCAACATTTTTTAATTTTCCCAGTTGATCTTTGGGCCACACCAAGGTTACAATAAGATTTTATTCTGGGGGCTGGGCGCGGTGGCTCAAGCCTGTAATCCCAGCAGTTTGGGAAGCTGAGGCGGGTGGATCACGAGGTCGAGAGATCGAGACCATCCTGGTCAACATGGTGAAACCCCGTCTCTACTAAAAATACAAAACATTAGCTGGGCATGGTGGCGCGTGCCTGTAATCCCAGCTACTCAGGAGGTTGAGGCAGAATTCCCTGCACCCAGAAGGCGGAGGTTGCGGTGAGCCGAGATTGCGCCATTGCACTGGAGCCTGGGTAACAAGAGCAAAACTCCGTCTCAAAAAAAAATTTTATTCTGGCAGGGGGCAGTGGTCCACACCTGTAATCCCAGCACTTTGGGAGGCTGAAGCAGGTGGATTGCTTGAGACCAGGAGTTCAAGAACAGCCTCAGCAACATAGCGAGACACCCTTCCCCAACAAGAAATACAAAAATTAGCTGGGTGCAGTGACAAGCACCTGTAATTTCAGCTACTTGGGGAGGCTGAGGCAAGAGAATCGCTTGAACCCCAGCTGGGGCAGAGGTTGCAGTGAGCTGAGATGGAGCCATTGCACTCCAGCCTGGGCAAGAGTGAGACTCCGTCTCCAAAAAAGATTTTAAAAAATTAACCAGCATGGTGGCATGCACCTGTAGTCCAGGTACTTGGGTAGCTGAAGTAGGAGGATTGCTTGACCCAGGGAAGCTGAGGCTGCACTCCAGCCTGGATGGCAGAGCAAGACCTGGTCTCAAAAAAAAAAAGATTTTATTCTGAAGATTGTGTTTTTTCCCACAGCTAGAACAACTTCTCATTTGCCTGAGTAACTGTAACTCATATTAATAATTTCCCACACTGGGTGCAGTGGCTCACACCTGTAATCCCAGCACTTTGGGAGGCTAAGGTGGGTGCATTATGAGGTCAGGAGTTCGAGACCAGCCTGGCCAACATAGTGAAACCCCATCCTTACTAAAAAATAAAAAAAATAAAAAAAAATCAGTTGGGTGTGGTGGCAGGCACCTATAATCCCAGCTACTCGGGAGGCTGAGGTAGAGAATTGCTTGAACCCAAGAGGTGGAGGTTACACTGAGCTGAGATCATGCCACTGCAGTCCAGCCTGGGGGACAGAGTGAGACTCCATCTCAAAAAAATAAAAATAAAAGTAAATAAATTTCTCTCAGGCCTGGGGCTGTGCTCAGCCTTCTACAAAAATCTTGACCCAGGGTCAGCTGATAAGAGTGCGGCAAGGCCTCACCCCAACCACTCAGTTTACAGTATGGCAGAGGGGCAACTTGAACCTGGGCTGTGACACTAATGGCTCACCCTTAGTAAGCTGATGTCCCAGAGAATGAGCTGCACATTTCATGTATGTCACAAATTTAATCTTCCATCTTTCACATTCCTCTATCTTCCCACTCTCAAGCCTCCTGGCTGCCCCCCACATTTCTTCACTACCAAAGCCAAGGACACAGGAAGCCACAGACTAAGGGGTTCACAAGAAACTGATCTTTACTCAACAAAGTTCTACACAAGTGGAATCTCACGCCACCTCGGCGCCAATCCCCAGCACAGCACAGTAACAAATGGACAGACCCGGGAGCCCGCAGAGGGAAGAGGGTGAGGAGGGAAAGAGGGACTGTGGCTCAAGGCCAGTCTGGGTCCACAGCCCTGGGTAGAGGAGAAGGTTGAGAAGCTGAAACTTCATTGTGCAAAAAATAACCAAAAATAAATTAAAAAATTAAATAGTTTAAAAAAAAAAAAAAAGGAAAGGAAAACAGGCTCCCCTTCCCTGAAGGCGTTTGGAGGCCCCCATCTTGAGTAGAGAGGGGTTACCAATCCCATCAGACTGCCAGTCCATCCACACACCCCAAGACCCAGCAGAGGATGCTCCAAAAAACTGGAATTACCAGAAAATTAAAAGGTATTTTTAAAACTTTTTTTTTTTTTTTTTTTTTTTTTTAACAAATGGCTTCCAGAGACCTGCTCGAGTTTCATGGGGTGGGCGTGCAGGGACACCCAGCTAATTTATGGAATGTGCACTGAGTGCCCCCTGGAATAGAGGCAGGGCCTGACCCTGACTATGGTAAGACAGGGCTAGGATGGACGGGGTCTGGGGCCAAGGAGAGATGGATGGAGCAGGCCCCAGGATGTGAGACTCCAGTCAAACCCCAAAACACAAGGGGCCCCCAAAAGTAGAAAGCAGGAAAGTAAAAAAATGGGAAAAAATGCTAAGGGGGTCTGCAGAGCCCAGTTTTCTGGTCAACTGGGAAGTAACTACACCCCCCTCCCTTTCTAGGGGAGCCCCTCCCACCTTGACCATTTCCCCAGACTATTCAGGAAGGTTCTCTAGAATTGCTGACCCAGTGTAGTAGGATCTGTGGGCTCACTGGGTGATGAGCAGGAAGCCCCAGGGAGATGGGGTGGGGAACAGGGGACACACCACCTTTTCCTTCCACCAAGCCTTGGTTTTCCTTCTTGTTGGCAAAGCATAAACCTTTGTCCTCTGTCATCATCAATCAAATGCCCCTGCCCAGGCCCTTGAGTTAAAACTCAGGCCCACAACGTGAGAAGGGGGCTTTCAGAAGCACAGAGAAATGGACTGCCCCTGAAGCTGCTTAGAGAGAGGCTGGGGGTAGGTGCCGGTAGCTCTGGCTGCACCCAGCTCTCTTCAGGAAAAAGGTCCCAGCCCAGCGTCTTCAAAAGCCACTGACTGGAGCACACAGGAAGGAGAAAGGGTGACCTCCTCTGGCCAGCCCCAGCCACTCCAGTGGTCCCCACCCTGCAAGCTGGGCTAGGACAAGGACGGAGACACACCAGCTGACAAAGCTGGCGGGGAGTGTGTGGAGCGGGTCCCAAGCGTGTGCGTGCTGACAGGACGACCCCCTAAGGTCACCATCCTCCTCCCCCCGCCCCGGGATCCCGCCTGAGGCCCCCCCACCCACCCAGCCCTCCCCAGTCACCGCCAATTCCGGCAAAACAGCAGAAGCTTCTTAAACTCTAGATGCAGGTTACACGGAAGGCCTTACGGGTTAACTCAGGGGTTCACTAATTCTACTGTCTCCATGCAGTCGGGAAAATGGTGGAGCGGCTGGCCCAGCCTCGCCGGGTATGGCACCCGCACATGCGTGTGGCCACGTGTGCCTGTGTGAGTGTACGCGTCCCTACAAGGGCCCCCCTCCCGACCTGCTCCTCCCTCACCTCATCCGAAGCTGGATTTGGTCAGCTGTGTAGATTCCTCCCTCCCATGTAGCTGGCCCAAGTGGGCTGCTGGAGATGACCCCATTAGAGCCCAGGGGCCCTTGCCCACCAGAAGTCCCCCCCTCCCTGTGTGTAGGATGAGCATGGTGGCTC